AGACAGGGCTGTGTGGCTTCCCCGTGGCTGTTCAACCTATTTATGGACAGTTGTTTGCAAAATTTGAAAGTTGAAGAATGCGGTTTAAGAATGGGTGAGTTAACCGTCAAATGCCTTTTGTACGACGATGATGAAGTTATCCTTGCATCGTCGGCGGACGAGTTGCAAATGATGGTTACTTTAATGAACAGATCATTAAAAGAAAGGGGTATGAAAGGGAACGCAAGTAAGACGAAGGTTATGGTTTTTGAAAGAGAAGAAAGTAAAACGATTTGTGAAATAAGAGTAGAAGGGGAGTTGATCGAGCAAGTAGATGAGTTTGTATATTTGGGCTGTGTATTTAGCAGGGATGGGAGATATGATAAGGATATAGAACGACGAGTGAATGCGGGAAATAGAGTAAATGGGGCCCTGCACTCTATTGTGAAGAATCAAAATGTGTCAAAAAAGGCACGTATGGCAATTCACAATGCTGTGTTGGTCCCTACTTTAACGTATGGTAGTGAAAGTTGGGTGTGGCAGATGAAGCACGAGAGTAGAATCAACGCAGTAGAAATGCGGTCGTTAAGGAGTATGTTAGGGCTGAATCTGAACGACAGGGTAAGAAATTGTGTAATAAGAGAAGAGTGTGGTTTTCAAGATGATGTTGTGACCAGGATTAAGAAAGGAATGCTTCGGTGGTTTGGTCATGTGGAAAGAATGAATGAGAAAAGAGTGACAAAGAAAATTTATGTTGCAGAAGTGAATGGCAGAGTCGGAAAGGGACGTCCTAGGCGTAAATTTATCGACCAAATTGTCGATTTATTGAAAACGGGCCAAATTAGGAGTACCCTTAACCGATGAGCATGTATGCGTAGGTGTATGGACGTGAAGGAGGCGAGAGAGATGTGTCAAGATCGTGCCAAATGGAAGTCTGTAGTCTCTGCCTACCCCTCTGGGTGACAGGCGTGAGTGTTAATGTTTTATGTATGTTATTTAGGTTTCAGAAACTCTCATATTCATAGCGAGAGGGGTGGGGCTACATAATTAGCTGCCTCACGAATAATATGATTGGAGTGCGACTCTGAGGCTTTGAAGAAGTTCTCAGAGAGTTTTTTAAGAAATTGTTGAATTGTAGGGAGCTCTAGGTCCCGATGAAGGTCGGCATTACGGACGTACCAAGGTGCGTTCGCATCTCAACGACAGAAAAGGTTTTGAACTGTTTGGAGTTCATTAATACTCATTTTGGGGTACCGTGGTTCCGTCACTGAGATCCTGTACCCACCTTCGGACTACTTCGGAGTGCAGCATCAGGTAAGTGAAATCGTCACGGCCAGCTAGTTAGGTGTGAGCCCTTTAAAATGAGCACAAAAACGATGGTACTACGTGATTCCGTCACTGAGAGTTATCCTTTACCCACATTGAGACTGAGTGCAGGACTGTAGCATCAGACCAGCCAAAAATGGTCACGTTCATATTATTTTACACTTTTTCACTAGGCGTTTTTGTAGTACAAAGTTTATTTACGGCTAAATAAATTCCGCACCTATACAATAGAAGGGAACACGACAGTTTTCGGAACGCTGCCGTACCCTGTATAAGTATTTACGCAAAAGAAAATATATCAAGGATAATTTACTTACCAATAATTTTAAAGAGCTTGGCCACGCTTCACTTTTGACTTGCTTTTGTATTTCGGCATTGTCAAGCTTAGTCTATTCTATGATACGATTATATACAAAACTAAAACTAAAAACAATTTTATTATTTATTTTATTACATAAATCAACTTAATTCCTATTTTTTATCATATATTACTTATGTACGTTTTGTTTACAATAAATCTGTTTTTATAAATGTGAAATATTGCGAACTTTTTAATATTTTTTTTAGAAAATAACCCGCGCACAATCCACCCGTCCCAATATAGGGCCATAGCGGGGGAGCTTCGGGTGGCGGAAAGGGTTCAAATTATGTTTTACTATATTTTAAGAAATATATTTAACAAAAATACAATAAAAACAATACATTTTTTATTATGATTTAACAAATATTTTAATATAAATTTAATCTTAAACTGTTGAGCTGTTCTTGAGAAAAAATACAAAATATGTTTAAAACAGCCTTTGTATTTGATTTTTTATTGTAATAATGATCAAAATTTAAAAAATTTAAACAATACAAATGAACTGTGACGGTCTAAACTATAAAACATAATTTTTTTGTAGCAAATAAACAAAAGGATTCGGCTATAACTTTTTGTAAACCTGGGCGTTTTCACGTTTTAAGCAATGTAAAAGCCTTAAAAAGTAAGTATACGTCGACTCGTAAGTAAGCATCTATAGGCATAGGTACGAGTCATATCATGTTGTACCTCTCTATAATATATAAGTATTTAGGTATCACCACACGAGAAGGCTCTTTTAGTGCACCCAATTATTATCTGAAATTATTTTATAAATAAACGCATAATTTATATATATATACAACATGTAACATAAATAACGCACTTTGAGAAAGTAGTTTGTTCTGTGTCGTTTACTGAATCGATTCCTATAATTTTTATATATGGGTAATTTTTTGTCCTAAAAATAATTACTACTTGTATACTATCTGTAAGCAAAAATGAAATGGACCTTAACTTAGGAATAAGATTAAGTTGTATTATTACTAATTCTGTCATTCAATAAAAATAAAGAAAAACGAACTTTATTTCCAGCACGTTAAAGTCTTTGCGTTCGTGGATTTGTACTGTGACCACAACATTCTACCGGAATTAGTATAACTAATTTGATAAATAATCAGAGAATAAAAACGTTTAACTAAAAATTCAGTGTATGTATTATGATTATAACGTAATATACTAATTGGGGCGTTTTCTGAGGGTGTGCGTTAATTACGTTACATATTGAATATATATATATATTTATATATATATATATATATATATATATATATATATATATATATATATCAATGCACCATACTCTCAGCGTAGAGCAATACAGTTCGACCAACCGTAACATGTTCCTGTCACAAGCAGACCGATGTAAGGTGAAGGACCCAATTACATACATGATGACACCAAAGTATGCAAACCTACAGCAACACCACCCATCTCAATGTAACACAGGGCTGCCTACCCGCCTACACTAGTAGAATACCCTAGCGGGCATAGTAAAGACAGTGAGACATAGAATTACCGACTGACCCCTCTCAGTCGACTGCGCGATACTTTATACTGCTAGAACTTCATAATACATATTCGTTTATATTTGTTTCGTATTTACTTGTAGTTTTTTACCGTCATTACTCAGAGTAGATATAATTTATTCTATGAAGGTACTTGAAATTTTAGCAATATCTTACGATAGTTTAAAATGTTGCTCCCTGGTTAAGTTATACATATATAATATGTATTTACTTAAGAAATCAAATGTGATTTATAGTATTGTTACAAAAGTACAACAATTTTGACAAATATAATAAAATAAAAATACATTTGATTGAAAAACTAAACTACAAAGGTAGCAAAACTGTTTTCTTTGTGAAAACATTATTTGATCTTTTTCAAAGACTACGAAAGTTTTGTAAAGTGTAATAGTTACACATACACAAAATTTTAAGTATCTTAATGACTAAATGGCTTAATTTTTAAATTTATTAAGTAAGAGTTCTGAGTTTGCCATAAGCAATCAAACTTACTGCACTCCTTTGCACTAATGTTAAAGGAAGTTAGGTATCAAATAACTACAAGTAACGCTATGTAGCCCTACGTATCATTTTATTTAGCTATATAGCATATAATATAAATATCTAACATATAATACATATATATATATATATATATATATATATATATATATATATATATATATATATATACAGTATTATACTTCATTTTACAGTGAAGTTCCATTATATTTAATAAAGTGGTCCCAGGACAATGGTATTATCATGAACTTATACCTTATAACCTTTCTAGAAAAACAGTATGTGTAGCTCTTATGGGTCACACTTACGATTGCCTGCGTACTGACAAGTCGAGCACTCTCTGCCGCTGCGAAAAGCTACAATGTGTAATAAACTATAAATAATTAGGGTTGGTTATAGATAATCGTTTCTCATGGGACTTGCATGTTGAATTAGTGTGTAACAGGCTTAGAGCAGTATTAGGCAAACTGAATCATATAAAATATGATGTGAACCGAGGAATCATGTATATGCTGTATTATGCCCTGGCAGACGCAACTATCGGGTATGGCTTAGGTACATATGAACTTACATTCCCAACATATCTTAACAAAATAAAGACTATACAGATAAGATTCTTAAAGATATTAGTTGATCCTAAAACGAAAAATGCTCTAGATAAAAATTATAAAATGTTATTTAAAATTTGCAAAATTATTCCCATAGACATGAAAGTAAAATCCATCATCATATTAGAACAGCATGGTAAGTGACATTTAAGAAACCTAGGACATATATAATGCCGAAGCGCCAAATTACTCAAAGGAGGATATATCTCATACCTAGGGCTGAAAATTACTTTGACGCCGTCCAATGGACAAGGCAATGGATAACTCCAACTTTGTGTAATGATAATGAGGTGGCGGATATATGTGACGAAAGTGTAACTAAGTCGCAGCTCAAATCCATCTTGAGGAAACATTATCTGTCGTTGTATATATATATATATATATATATATATATATATATATATATAGTGGTGAATGTTTCTTTAATTATTTTGAGTTAATTTAAGTATTTATAAGTACCAGAAATTGTTATTAAGGAGTGTGAAACGATAAACTGTTGCGTTGCCGACAAACTGGCTTACAGTTTAGCAAAATTAAAAATGTAAATAACGTACACTCTTTACCCTATACCTTTATACAATATATATATATATATATATATATATATATATATATAATACTTTTTAAGTCAACGACTTACACCCTATGTGTGGTCAGGGTACGTGACAACTGAGAGGTGGTCCTGAACTACTATTCAAATTGCAGCCATTAAAGGTAAGGTAAGCTAATATGTTTAGGTTGTTGGGTTTGGTTGTATTATGCGTTTTCATGGTATAGCTCGGATTACCTATAGCTAATAAATATCATAATCTTTCACTCCTTTCTACTTTCCAACCAAATTCAAACACGACGAGTACTTACTTTGTCGGAATATCTTATTTAAGAATGTTCATCGATAATTATTTAATACGTTTTCTGATTTTAATGTTTTTTTTTTAAATAGAACGAGGAAGGGATCCGTGAGAAAATCATCAGACTCTTTAATTTGCTAAGGACATTTTCTTACCATCCCTCTCAGAAATGTGAGAGCCCAGCAGTTGGAGGTATAAAGGCCGTAGCTTTCATTTTATTATTTACACATAAACCTCTGTTGTCTCTGTTAGGTATTATAATAACTGGAGGGTTATTTGCACGCTATTAACCATTTTTAATTTTATATGCCTGTATGTGCGGGCTAATCTTCGTAATGGCTAAACCGATTGCGATAAACTTATTACGAACAAATAGAGACTAGAGAGCAATGCCAGGAGGGATCTCGGTTTTATTTTATCCGAAGACGAAACTTTGACAAAATAAATTGTCTACACATTAATAGATCCTATTCAGGAGAAGTCGGGGCGGTTCACTAGTATAGATAGATAGACAGAAAATTCTTTATTGCACTTAAACAAAACAATTTGGTAACAAGGCGAACCGAAAAGGCATTCTCTGCCAGCTAGTTCAGTATATTATCAATTTTAAGGGGAAATATTAAAAATACTACCTCAAATGCCTTAGCAAGATCCTCCGTTATGCCGAAAATATTGCAGCATTAATTTTGAAATAAATATATGGTAAAAATGAGGATTAATGTCAAGTACTATGTTTGGCGAAACCACGATTCCGTAAAATTTCTCCGATAAAAAAATCCAAAGTTACGTCCAAACTGAACAATAAACCGCTGGTATTCATAAAATACTTTAAATTAGATCATAAAACTTTGTTTACTAAACATTAAACTAACTATAAAGCAGGGCTTATTTTTTCATTTTTTTTAATTACCATTATTTTCACTGTAAAAAGAAATTACGTAAACTATCGGCGTCTTGAAGTTTGTTTCCTGCCGCCTGATTAGTCTCGCTTTGGCTTTTGAACGGGAAAGCTGTCACTTACGATCAGAATACACATTACGCAATAGGGCGACGTAAAATTAAAATGGGAAATAACCGTAACAAAAATAAGAAACAGGCATAAATATGATAAACCTAATAAAATAAGTATCTAACGACCTGTCTACTTACAGTATTTGTGACTACAAACATGTCGGTACATAGCATAAGACACGCGGAGAAGTAGGGGCAAAATTAGAATTTAAGCTGAGTTACTATAGTCCCATAAGTACGCACTACAGCAGCTCGGCGGCCAAATTGCTCCATAACCCTGAGCAGTGGAATAGGCTTCAGCTTTAGGTAACTTTGCTTTTTAACTTTCACATAGCGAAAGTGTCTTTAATAAATATATATTTATTTCAGGTTTATAATTAAAGCACCATTGAATCAATACAGATAAGGTTGTTAAAATAGATTAAACTTAAAACATACACATACCAAAACAGCACTGAAAGAAAAAATAGTTTGCATTCTTCAAAAACATTTATTCTTCAAAGACATTGATTTCAAGATGATTATTTCTAACAGTAACGTTTTCATATTTACGATATTGGACACGGAACATTTTACTCTCTAACGTGAGGTATCGGACGTAGTGTAGCTATCGGAGTTAACGCATATATGAGATGATAAGACACGACAGAGCTACATAAAGCTGAACCAAAAACAATTGATACAGGGATCCACACAGGCTACTCTCAACGTTTGGCCCAGAGGTTTTGTTGATAGTTATAGCGTAACATATGCTGACTGGAACTGTACTTTTTAAAAATCTGCCAACCACAACCACAAAACAATAAAAACTTTACAAATGAAATACTCGTGAAAAACTGACGTACATACAATCATGACTGCCTATTTATTTATTTATTCTTTATTGAACCATACGCAATATATAGGAATAAAAAATCTTAAGTAACGTCTTAAAAAAGTAACTAAATCCACATTTGTGCAACGAAATTTAATACACATACACAATTTAATACACATACGCATACATGTGTATTAAACTCATGCCTGTCACCCAGAGGGGTAGGCAGAGACTACAGCCTTCCATTTGCTACGATCCTGACACACCTCTCTCGCCTCCCTTACATCCATATATATACCTACGCATACATGTTCGTCGGTTAAGGGTACTCTTAATTTGGCCCCTTTTCAATAGGTCTTCAATTTGGTCAACAAACTTTTGCCAAGGGCGTCTCTTACCGACTCTGCCGTTCACTTCTGCTACGTAAATTTGCTTTGTCACACTTTCCTCATTCATTCTTCCTACATGACCAAACCACCGAAGCATTCCTTTCTTAATCCTCGTCACAACATCATTTTGAATACTATTTCTATTCTTATCTCACATATCGTTTTACTTTCTTCTCTTTCACAAACCATAACTTTCGTCTTACTTGCGTTCACTTTCATTCCTCTTTCTTTTAACGACCTGTTCATTAATGCAACCATCATTTGCAACTCGGCCGCCGACGATGCAAATATAACTTGATCATCAGCGTACAAAAGGAATTTGACGGTTACCTCACCCGTTCTTAACCCGCATTCTTCAACTTTCAAATTTTCCAAACAACTGTCCATAAATATAGGTTGAACAGCCACGGGGAAGCCACACAGCGCTGTCTGAAACCTTTATGGATGCCAAACCACTCCAAGTAGACCCCGTTGATTCTAACACAAGCACTGGAGTCCCTATAAAGAGACTTCAATGCCTGTATCAGCCCAGGGGTCAACCCAAATGAGTTCAGCGTTTGCCATAACAAATCCCAGTCCACGCTGTCATAAGCCTTTTTCAAGTTCATGAACGCACAAGAAACTTTTTGGTTTTTGGGCAATAACTTCTCCGCGATCATGCGCATGGAAAAGACTCGATCAGTACACCCCATTACCTTTCTAAATCCCGTTTGCACATCCCAAATTTTTCCATCAGTTTCTTTCATGACCCTTTCAATTAGTACCATAGCATACAGTTTTCCTACAATGCGAAGAAGGCTGATACCACGGTAGTTTCTATAGTCCTGCTGCTACCCTTTTCCTCTATCACGGCTTTGCATCAGTCTTCCGGTACCCGTTTTAGTTCCCAACATAAATTAAACAAGGTGTACAGCAGGCCTGCCATCACTTCCTCTCCAGCTCTTAGCATTTCGAGTAAAACTCTGTCATATCTGGCTGCCTTACCTGCTTTAATGATTTTCATTGCTTTCATTATTTCATCTGTACTTATCTCTCTATGTTCTTTTTCCTACTCTTTCGGAGTTTCCATTTCATTTCATTTCATTTATACGTCTCCACACTCTTATACATGCTTTCAAAATAATCCTTCCATCTCTTTAAACTCAAAAGTTCATCATTCAGAATACGGCCATTTTCGTCTCGTATAGCATTTAATCTAGCCTAGATTGAATGCTATACGAGAAGGCTGTTTTGAAATTCCCCTGGCAGTTCTTACGAGTTTACAGAACATTTTAATATTTGCCTGGAAGTTATCCGAAAGTCTTCTATCATTCTTATTAGTTCTTTCTTGCTTTTTCCTTTCAACTTCTTCTTTTACTCCCTTATTTAGATGTCTAAAGACTGCCTTATTTCTTTCAATATCTTCATTCGTACTGCCAGAATTACCAGCCTTGGTTGCTAGCAAATCTAGACATGCTCTCTTCTTTGCTTCAACTTCCATACGTACCTCATAATCGCATCGTAACGTATTATTATTCCTTTCATTCGTTCTCTTACTAACACCACTTACTTCGGTAGCTGCATCCACCAAACCTTTCTTAACATTATGCCACACATTTTCCAAATCTAACTCATGCATACACATAATGATTTCTTATATTTACGCGAACAGTACACATTGATTAAAACTACTTTTACGGATTTTATCGCGTTTAATTTTAATTATTTTTTATTCCCGACGTTTCGGGTGCTTTCCAGCACCCATGGTCACGGGGGACTGAGATGACTGACGTCCCGATCTCATTGTTAAACCCGGAGTACCTTCAGGTTTTTAAATTATTGTTTATGGTCCGATCTATGTAAAATGAACTGACTGTGTCTTGAAGTCTTGCAGTGGTATGCTTGGGTTTAGTTTTAATTTTATTGATTATAGGGTCCCAAGCAGGTGGTAGTACCCAGCCTCCTTCTCTATTGAAATTAGGATGTTTTTTAATTTCAATAGCTTCACGTATCATCCTTGGTAGGAATCGGTGTTCTTTCGCGAGGATTTGTGGTCTATTAAATCTGATGTAATGGTTGGGGCCGTCTAAGATGGGATCACAAACTGCAGACTTCCTGGAACGTTGAAGCTACACATCAGCTATATGTTCTTTTACGCGGGTTCTAATTTATATTTTTGTTTTTCCTATATAAGAGAGACCACATTGACAATTAAGCTTGTACACTGAACTGAGGTTTGAGACTGAACATCAAAACTGACTAACTGAAAAAAGACCCATACTAATCGATATTTAGACGGTGAATCTCACCACCATCCATCACAGTTAGCTACCGTGGGCAAAGCTTTGTTACAGAAAGCGCGAGGGATCTGTGACAGCAAACACCTGGCCGCCTAGCTTCAGCACGTCAAGCAAGTTCTGCACGAGAACAAGCTTCGGGTCCCGCGCCTACGTCACAGTGACCGAGTGAAGCCGACCACAGTCGAGCACACGCTCGACTGTGGTCGGCCTGCTGTACTACTATATGTCAGAGGTGTCACAGACAAGATTGGCTACATCTTGAAACGAGCTTCTGTTGGAACATTCTACAAGCCGCCGAAGAATATAAGTCAGTTCTTACCATCCGTCAAGTGTCATATTCCTCTATAAGATGCAAGAGTGTACAAGCTTGATTGTGAATGTGGTCTCTCTTATATAGGACAAACAAAAATATCAATTAGAACCCGCGTAAAAGAACATATAGCTGATGTGAAGCATTAACGTTCCGGGAAGTCTGCAGTTTGTGATCATATCTTAGACGGCTTCAACCATTACATCAGATTTGATAGACCACAAATCCTCGCGAAAGAACACCGATTCCTACAAAGGATGATACGTGAGGCTATTAAAATTAAAAAAAAACATCCTTATTTCAATAAAGAAGGAGGCTGGGTACTACCACCTGCTTGGGACCCTATAATCAATAAAATTAAAACTAAACCCAAGCATACCACTGCAAGACTTCAAGACACAGTCAGTTCATTTTGCATAGATCGGATCATAAACAATAATTAAAAAAGCTGAAGGTACACGGGTTTAACAATGATATCGAGACGTCAGTCATCTCAGTCTACCGTGACCATGGGTGCTGGAAAGCACCCGAAACGTCGGGAATTAAATATAATTAAAATTAAACGCGATAAAATCTATAAAAGTAGTTTTAATCAATGTGTAGTGTTCGCGTAAATATACGAAATCATAATGGTGGCTTTTCAGCTCCCATGGTCACGGGGTACTGAGGTGACTGACGTCCCGATGGCAGTGTTAACCCGGAGTACCTTTAGCTTTTTAATTATTATTTATGGTCCGATCTACGCAAAATGAACTTATTGTGTATTGAAGTCTTGCAGTACCATTGCAAGTCTTCAAGACACAATAATTTGCTTGGATTTACCAAAAAAATCAATGAGAACACTCTTAAAAGAACATATAGCTGACGTGTAGCATCAACGTTCCAGGAAGTCTGCAGTTTGTGATCCCATCTTAGACGGCCCTAACCATTACATCAGATTTGATAGACCACAAATGCTTGCGAAAGAACATCGATCCCTACCAAGGATGATACGTGAGGCTATTGAAATTAAAAAAAAACATCCTAATTTCGATAGATAAAGGAGGCTGGGTGCTTATTTCAGGTATTTCAGTCAGGTATTTAAAATAAAATAAATTATTTTAAATAACTGACTTTTCGAGTACTTACCAGTTCAAATTGCAATTAAAATTTGAGTGGTGTCTGAGTGGATTAAATAAGGGTTGCTTAGGTACTATAATATTTAACCTTGTATCGGTTCGATAACCGGCTTTGACAACCAACTTTCAAAAATCAAGTGCAGTAAAATTTGTTTTCTTTGCTATTTAAGGCACTTTTTTCAAGAGCTTGTTCTCATTTCATTCATGCATATACTCATGTGAGCTATTAAACCAGGAGGAATGCTCGGAGCATTCCGCATTAGCGGTTTTCACATATTGATAAATTTGTTTTAACTACGTTATATGTAGGATGAATGATGATGATGGAATATGTAGTTAGTTATATGTAGGATGTCCCCGTGGGAATTCAACACGTTTTGCTCCCGTGCCATGAAATCTTACGGTTAGCTACACATCTTCGAGATCGGAGGCAAAATCAGAATAGGTCTGTAGTTTTCGACTCAATTTCGATTGCCAGTTTTAAAAACAGGGTGAAGTAAAAAGCCTTTTTAAACAAATTAGGAAAATGAAATAAATATCCCAAGAATTCCGTGAATTATTCCATGCGTTTAAATATATTAAATCAGCTCAACACGAACATTAGCAGCCGATTAAATTTATTTTTTTATTAAAAAAATCAATTATAAAAGCAGTTATTATTACATTTTGGACCTAATTCTGTACAGCAAAAATCTCCCATAGATATTAAATGTTATTAAGAGATATCTCTTAATAATATTTAATAATGCTATGACATTGCGAAGAGAGAATTTATCGACGACATACGTACATACATGCACACATCCGTAACCATAATCCTCCTTCTGCGCTGATCGAAATAATAAACGTGAAACGAATGAGGTTAAAATGGACGGATGATTTGCAAGGTTGTTTTTAAAATTCGGACTCTGAATTACCGAATTATGAGAAAACGTTTCGAGTGCTTCACCATTTAAGAAAATATAACTTACCTACACGTATTACATAGAGCAATGACATAGAATAAGCTGAATAAATAGAATAATAATATTTTTTAAGTGCACCAAATGGTGCCGGGTGCAGCTTATGGTCAGCTTCAACTAATATGAAACAAAGAAGTCCATAAATGCGTTATCACCTCTTAGCTCTAAAATGAAAACACTAACAGCCTGTAATTATACACATAATTTAGACACGAATTATTTATTAATTATTAAAATATGTAAGTAATATTTTACTTTTTACATACAAATCGTTTCAGAAATCAATTCATTGTTTTAACAAATGATATAACTGGGTATTTAGGTACATCTCTTTAAGAAACCAGCCGTCGGTTTTATTGCGTCTATTGTTGTTTGCTAATGGCCTTTTAAAATCAAATACTACGCTCCCTTCAGACAGCTAGTTCTCAGACAGTGAAATGCTAGTCATTAAATTGGATTTCTTAGTGGTGTTAATGAGTGTTATCGAATTGTAAAGGTTAAATTTTTGTACACTTTTCTTATACCAGCAGGTCGTCATGACTTCACATTCTGATCCGAAGTATTACTTGACGTAGCCATGAGAACAGCACCTCAATACAAATTTATATAAATAATAAAGAAGTCACAGAAGTCATAAAATATCCTCCGATTCTCGTCTACAATCTTGAAGTCCAAGTACTTAAGAAAAAGTCAAATTACACATTTAGCGTATTATAAACGTAGCCCCGAGGAAAATTTACAAATTGAAATTGAATTATTAGTAAGACCACTTTCATGTACCTGATTTAAATATCGCGTTACGACCTTGGAAGGCTATCAAATAAAGTGCATACTGCATGGAAATAGAACTTCTCCATAAGCTCCGCCTTTGGTTTTTTTGCGCATGCGTATTTGTTGTACCAATCCCAGTATAAAAGATGTAACAGCATCAAGAAACCATCATTCCCGCCAACATCCCAAAAGTTGCGAGATCAAATCAGTAAATATAAGAAAGTTTCTAATTATAAAAAAAGTTCAAAAAAGTGCTTCTGTTCGGGGTCTTCAGCTTTAAGGTCAGTAGATTACTTAAAATTTTCCTTCAAAATGTTAATCATTCAAATTAGTGCGTATATTTTATTATAAACGTAGCCCCGAGACAGTATTTAATTTTCATTAAGAGTTCAACTTAACGTTAATGTTTGCAAAATTTAAAACGTTTCATTCAATATCATCATGTTTTCCATTTGCTTTATTATTCACCCAAAGTTTAATACAAAAATTAATACGTATAATGCTTATAGATTAAAGTTGGAAGAAGGCTTATTAAATATTGAGCAAAATTCCTAGAAAAAATGTGTTTCGTACATTTAAAAAATCATACTTAAATGTACATCTTTTATATCTTTTAATTATGATAAATAAAAAATATTTAGGTAAAAATGTGAAGGGGTTATCAAAGCTTAAACATATCTTAAACTAAAAATAAGAAATATTTGATGTCCACTCTCATGAATCTACAAGAAATATTTGATAAAAACTCTGTCTCCCCCTTTTTTATAAATAATTATTTTATAGGACATAAAATTTTGGTTCAGGTGTATACACAATAAAAACCGGCCAAATGCCGATCGTGGCGTGTGTTGGCGGTGCGGTGTGAGTATCCACTGCCCCATATCATCCCGTGGGTGTCGTAACAGGCCATGAGGGAAAAAACTCAGGAGATGAGCAGCAGCGTCTTCCTAATAACGACTAAGAATAAAAAACTGTGGTTGCCAACCAGCTTACCAAGCGTGGCAACTATGGCAAATATTGCCATACGGAGCAATTTATTAGGGAGGCCTATGTTCAGCAGTGTTTAATATGCTGCAACGGTAACAATAAGTGCCGTGCCTGGCTCTATTAGGGTTCCGTACTTATTATGACCAATAATTTTTTTTGAACTAGTTAAATATGTATTAATGTAATACTTTTTCTACTTTAGTACTAAATTATGTTCGTAAGTTTTTTGGCCTGTCGCCTTATAAACTAAATTATGAATCGATGTCTTCAGTATTTGTTGTTCAAAAAAAGTATATGGCACATAATATAAAGGAACGTCAAATCCAAAATTAGTTTAGTTTTTGTGATAGACCCCGTAACAAAACAAAACGTTCTGAAGATAAATTATGTATAGCAAAAAAAGAAAATATGTCTCCCTATTTAATGGGCTTTACGAGTATAATAAGAAATAGTTTTTTGACTCTTTTTTTTCCATGTACGGAACTTCCCTTAAAAATAATTTACATAATATATATTATGTAATCTAAATACTTATAATATATATATATATATAATATAAATAATTTACATATAATAATTTACTGCAGTTGCAGCTTTATATTGTGGTTGCAGCACGAATGGGTCGGCCCGATCGGGGTAGGACCACGCTCTCACAGAATATCGGCGTAAAATAGCAGCTTAATGCTTCTGTGTTTCGTATAGTGAGTGTACGTTTGTGGGTTAACAATCTACACTAAACTTAAAAAAAATTAGTCTGTAATTCAAACCATCTACAAGCGAGATATCGTTGATATACGAACAGAGAGGATCAGACAAATAGACAGCAGAGTCACATTGATTAGGCTCTGTTTTACCTTTTGAGCACGAAATCATAAAAATGAAAAGCTAAAATTTGAATTTTTACGTAAATAATTACATTGTAAAAATTAATAATTTGTATAAGTAAAATAGTTTTGAGTATGTATTCTACTACATTATTTTAGTATCTGAACGGGGATAATTGAGGAGTCACAAGAGTCTTAGTGAAATTTATTTATAGAAATAAAATCAATTTAAGTAACTACTGAAAATATCGTAAAAGCTTTTTTCTAAGTACTTAAAACATCAAAAATCTTTAAAAAGTCCTCAGGGGGACAACGCATTTCGATTCTTAATCGAGGATAAATGTGGATGTCTATGGGCCACAGCATCCACTTACCATCACCATCAGGTCTTCACATCACTTACCATCATCATCAGGTGGGTTGTGTGCTCGTTTGTCACCCTTATTCGACAAAAAATATGGAATATTATTATTATTGTTACTTTTGAGATAAGTAAATTCCTTTAATTTAACTGAATGTTAAATTAAAGGGATTTACTTATCTCAAGTTAAATTTCATTAACTTTTAATTTTTTAAAAAAACTGTTATAATTAATTTATCAAGGGTACTCTATCTACCAGTCTTATTTTATACCGAAAAGATAAATAAATGTGAAAATTATTTTTAGTTTTTTGAAGTTAGTAATAAACGTTATTTTTTATTTCAATGATTTTGAATATCATGTGACAGTTTCCGTGTATTTAACATAAATATTTACTTTTCGTAGTATTTTACTTTCCATAAGATGAAAACGTGAGGGCGAGAGAGTTTTACGTTCGTTCGTTCACTTGATAAATCTTGCTCACGTAATCGATTATAAGGGCATTGTCATTATCGTTTCGAGGGCATATTTCAAATTCAAAGGTTTATAAAAGTTGATGAATCCAGCATAAATGTTAGGTGACAGATAATGCACGAGTAAGCGTTTTCTCTGTCGGAAAACTTTGATGGGTTAAATATTTTTTATACCATATATCAAAAGGATTTTAAGGAGGAAATATCCAGTATGAACAGTAGTACCACCGTAACTGACATAGATCCCTGGCTTAGTAATTCGAAGCAGTAATTATAGACCGACCACCGACGTGAAACAAAGGAACTTGAGGGGTATCCGCACACAGAAAAGCACTGGATATCGTGAAACATAACTGTATGTCCTACATATCTATAGCTGGTACGAGACTGTTACTTGAGAACCTTTCTTCTCCATAGATTTTTGGTTCTTCGAGCTATATGGTCGGCCCACTGTCTCATGTTAAGAAAATATATTTTACTAGGTGTGGATCAGTAGCACCATGTAACTATAAAAGGTAGTAACCAAAAAAGGCTAAATTATAAAAGAATTCGCTCATAAAATATATTGCTATGTACTAATGTCTACAAAACTTCATTTTAATTTTTTGTAATCGCAAATATAGGTCGAATATAAGGCACACTTTCTTGCTCAATTAGCGTTTTTATGATCTTTGAGTACTTAACCAACGCTATACGTATGATACAATCACCCAAATTTTAAGATTGATTTTATTAATAACAAAGATCGCGCGAAGGTAGATTTTCAATCCTGATAATTTTAACTCTTCTACTATTTCTCAATGTTAATTTTTTTTGAGTTTTTTTTAAACTTCTCATTTCATGATAATGGGAATAGCAAAATGAAACGTTTTTTTTGGAAAAAATATAATAATTAAAATCTCAAAAACTCTAAAGTACCCTTGGTGCTTCGTTCTCCTCTCCCAAAAATAGTACCAAAACTTACTTCTTAATATTAAAATCAACTTCACACAAAATAAAGTTGTTTTATTTTTTTAAAGTTTTGAATCATAAAAGTTTTAGCATTATTAAAAGTTTTAGCGTTGTAGATTGTAGTTATTATAAAGTTGGTTGTATTAGTTTCAAATTTAGTCTGATGCAAGTATTTCAAGAATTCATTGTTTAACCTGAAACTGTAATACTAGTAATGCTTTCAGCGGCTGAATAGAGCTAATTGGAAAATACTTTGTAAATGACTTACATAAATTAGTTGCTTTATTCATAGTTTAGTAACCATTTTAAACAGAATTTGCACTAAAATATCGTTATGTTGAAATTGAATTGAGGTATAAAGGCTTTTAGTTTTAGTTTATCATTGATTCCTGAAAGTTTGTATAAAGAATTTCTATATTTACATTATAAAAAACGGTACTACTAATGCTACATAAGGTTTCACTAATGTTTAGGTACTATAAGAAACAATTTTAATTAATAGAATTATTTTTTTATTTTTTTAAAAGGGTAACAAGCGAGCACACAGTCCACCTGATGGTAAGTGGTTGCTGTGGCCCGTAGACATCTACATCTATCCTCGTTTGCGAATCAAAATGCAGATGCGTTGTCAGCCTTGAGGACTAAGATGGAATGCCTCTTTTCCAGTAAAAAAGGTGTCCGGTTCTCTACACTCACCATAAGAAATACGGCAGCGTTAAGCTACTATTTTACGCTGGTATTCTGTGAGAGCGTGGTTCTTCCCCGGTCGAGGCGACCCATTCGTACTACAACTATACTACTAATATAACTGCAGCATGGCTCTACCACGTATAAAAAGTTATGAAAAAATATTGACGTTGTTTAAACTAACAACGTCAACTAACAACGTCAACGTAGCTTTGAGAGTACCTCCCACCCTCCCTAAATTGCGCGCATTATCCCCGTATCCACCGATCCGTACGTACTACCAATCCCACACGACCACACGTCGCGTCGTGTTAAGGCGAAAACGTGTCGTATTATCGAGGGTGGTGCGTCATTACTAGTGTGGTGGTATTGGGAGTGGTGGTGCTGGTAGAGATGGTGCTGGGAATGGTGGTACTGGGATTGGTGGTGACGGAGATCGTTTAAGGTGCTCTTAAAACTGGTCAGGGCACATGATTTTATTTCATTAGGCGGAAATAAGCAAATTAAGTTCTAGCAAACTCAATGGAACAATTTTAGTTACTATTTTAACTTTATCAACAATAAACTTTTAAGGCATGTTTCTGTATTTAAAATTATCGTTTCTTGATATTTAACGTAATTTAAACTTATATTTACTACAGTAACAAATAGCATAATTAAAAGTGATTGCTACATGATTGCGAAACAAAGGTTTATGAAATGATTTCTATTAAATGTAAATAAAACTTAAAAAAATTAAAAATGCTCATTTAATCTGTAAGCAACTTAATTGCATACGAAATAAAAATTTAGCTCCTTTAAAATGGCTCACCGAGCGAAAAGTTTGCAACCGTACTTGAAGCTAATAAACTAAAAATAAAGCCGCAATAACTTGCGAAGTATTGAAAGTTCCACCTACATTTATTGCTTTCGGCTCTTGCACCGCTTAAGCTGAAATATCTATTATTTTATTATAGCTCAGGTGTTCACCGGGGGTGGAGTACGCTCAGCTGTAATTGAATCTGCCAAGTTTATGTTTTCCTTGCGACAGGCTATTATCGGTGCCGCCTCTAACGCTTTTAAATAATACAACATTTTTGTATTATGAATAAAACTGTTAATTTTTTTAACTTTTCTAAGTCACTCGTTAATAATTAACCCACCTGTTGGTAAGTGGCGCTGCAGCCGAAGATGGTAAAGCAAACTGACTTAGCTTTATAAAAGGAATATTAACTCTTCCCTTGAAGAAACCCTCATTGTAATCGGATGTAAAGGCAGATGCTGGCAACTTATTGAACTGCTTTGCTGTACGTTTGACAAACTATGAAGCAAACCTTTTGGTTCGAATGCGAAGTAAGTCGACAATAAAGGGGTGGAAACTGGTCGAGCCACTGGTTATCCGATGGTGGGAGGGAGAGGGTCGAATCAATTTATGCAATTCCTGCTCACATTTTCTGAAATGCATCTTGTAGAAAACCGAAAGGCTGGCCACGTACTACTTTACATGTTCGTGAATAGTGAGATTGATTTTCACTAGATATTGTTATATGATAATTAGTATAGTTTGCCAAACGAAGCGTGGCAACTATGGCAAATGTTCAGTAGTGGACTTTAGATAGGCTGTAATGGTAATGGTAATTATTAATAGGACAATGTAATGATGATGTTGTAGATAAAGATAATGGTCGGCACGGTACGACATTAACTTTTCGGTATTGTCAGAAGTTACGTACTACATAATATTGTAGTACCACTAGTGTATTGTGTTAACATCTTGGAGTACCATATACAAACTGAGTAGTGAACACAGACACACACTAGTTCTATCGTGTTCATGCCTGATGTATGATATCATCAGAGGTAGGTCAAGATTTAATATCAATCAAACACAACTGGTTCCGAAAATCAGCAAATTGAGTGGTTTTGCACAATCATTGACACTGGCTGAAATTAGAAGTTAGGTTTCGTAATCCGTAGATAGTTGCTTTAACCACTATGCCACGTACTGGTCTCCCATTACAATGTATTAATTTTAAGATGCTAACAATAAAGGATAAACAAAAAAAATATTTATTTATTTTTTATTGCTAGCGCTTTCAATTAGGAGTTACAAAGAACGGACTTAACGACTTATGCCATTCTTTACTTGATATTTAGTAAAGCATCGTCAAATTTTCGAGACGTCTGATTGCAAAGTTGCCTACCAAGCGTGACCATTAAATCAAATCCTTTACAGGACCTATCCATGTTGTAGCAGTAGGCTTTCAAAGGGTATTCACTGCATAGCGTTATCTACACGTTAAAAATTATCATACATATGCTGATATATAAAGTTCTTATGTATACCTTTAGATGAGGGAGCTTACGCGAGGAAATAAAAGGAGACATCATTTTTTAATCGGAGCAACTTTAGTTTTGGCTCTTTCGACCTATATCGATCAGGTAATATCTTCAATTTAAAATATGATGTTGTTGAAAAGAAAATGTTTCCTTATTTAAGTAAATTTTATATTTATAGGCTCTGAGTTTACCTGTTGATACTTTAAGCCAATGGCCGACGTTTCCCAGAAGAAATATTGCAGCTCTTGCCAGAGATGGATATCTTAAAAGCGCTTCTCCAGGATTTAAAAGAAGCATATCAACGCTAGCTAAAAACGGCCAATTGCCTACATTCAGATCTCCAAATGGTGAAGCAGATAAAACAGAAGAAGACGACGATGAGGTTCATGACAAAAGAAACATTGCGTCTATAGCTCGTCTTCGTAGCTATAGTGCTAAAAGGAATATTCAAGCTTTGGCTAGAGATGGCTATCGTGTTGGTAGAGGGCACTATAATCAACCTAATGATAAGCGTAATATTGCCTCCATGGCTCGCAACGGAATGATACACAAACGCGACGAAATTATGGGAGATGAATATTATTACCCATTCTTTCAAAATCCCCTGCCACCACTATCGGAAATTGATGGCCCATTCGATATGAATGAAATGTACGATTTTCAACAATCTATGAATCCTGACATGCTACCCCCTTTATCGCAAGTTTCCAAACGTAGTGTTGTTCAGCCTGTGGCATATCCAGAAAATGACTATGAAACAAATTACGATCGCAATTGGTATTTAAAAAGAGGCACTGTGGGTATGCCTGTACATGGACTCTTTAGACCAATTTATATTGAGCCTGCTACACGTTCCAAGAGATACATATTATCGTTACCAGACGTCATTGAAGGGAATGATATTGAAGCAACTGAAACTAATGACAATGATAACGAAGATAAACGATCCGTAGGTGAGTTTAATGTGGTTTAATTTTTGTGTATGTTAGAATAATAATTCGTTGTTAATTTTATATGATTTATTGCATCTGTTACAGATGAAGATGAAGTTCGTGATAATTTTGAAAAACGCCATATTGGGTCTTTGGCCCGCTTAGGTCTATTGCCCTCTTTTAGATTCTCAGGAAGTCGTTATAGTAGATCTGGAAGAGCCAGACTGTTATTACCTAGTCAGGAGTTATACAGGTCTTGTAAAGATAGGATTTGACAACTGTCGATGTGATAGATTGTGTTAGAAAAATATTTGTTCAGTAGACCTATGTGCTTAAATGCTTTATATATGGGATGTCGCGTAGTAGTAACTGGCAAGCCAAAATGGCATGTTTGTTGGTAGTATAAGATAATTACTAATAGAAATGCAGATCGGTGTTTAGGTTTCAATAATTTGATTAAGAGCAACATTCTCGTGTAGTATGCCTTCAAAATTAAAAAATAAACAGGCAAGGTGGCGAGGGATCAAGATTGTTAAAGCCTACTAGAATATACGAGCTGTTATCGCATGAAAATAGATTTAAGACGCTTGATTATATGGGTGTAACAATGATATTGTGGATACGGATAAGATGTGTGGGTTTTTACTTAAAGATTTAAGTGTATTAATACGAATTTATTTTTTCAGGAAGCATTCCGCTGACGAGAATTTCGGAATTAGGTAAGGGCTTTTATTTATGTCTTGTCTATAAGTGTTGTAAGTTTTAACCGATTATAAAGTAATGCTTGACGTCAATCCTAGCAGAGGGAAGGTGGGAATGTAGCCCCAGACAATAAACTGTATTAATCCACCTAGACCTCTCCCATTGCAGAGAGGGTTTGCTTTAATCATCGCGCTTGGAAAGCGGTTAAATGTTCGCTAGTACCAGCCGTGTCGCACCTTTAACCCTATTGTCCTTAACTGATGAGATGGTTACACCACCACTTCTCAGAAGCTCTACTTCTGTTTCCATAGTCGCACGGTCTTACGACCATCGCATGGAACATCTGTTACAGCAATCAAAGTTTTTTAAGCACGGCGATTAAGGTAAATCTTACCTACAATTAACTACATATTATTTCCACAATATCTAGTCGTGGACAGTTATGGGGTTATGAAGAAAAAGCGGGAGAAGACTTATAATATATATAAAATAAAGAAATGGGTATATAAGCTTCTGATGGTTATAGCTTCTATTTGATGATTCTATCGGTGATCGAATCCAAGCTATTTCTAATTTGTCTTGTGTTGTCAATTGTAAACATGATTGTAAGCTATTATTGAAAAAAATAGTCCCGCTGGGTTTCTTGCTAGTTCTTCCCAGTACAGAGGTTTCTTTTGCGAACCAGTGGTAAATTAAAAGAGTGACTTTCAATGAGTATTGTTATAATCTACATTGAATAAAAAACTTCTATTTCTATTTTTATTTCAATTTCTATATCAAAGTATAAAATATTCCAGGTATTTCCTTCCATTTGTTTTTGCATACGCTTACACCATATGCCAGTTATTAGACAGTAAGTGGTAATGAATATTTTTGAGCCACCACTATAAATTTTATATTCGTGATGTAAAAGCAAGAGCTTTCTACTAATATTTTATTTAAATGACGGTTTAAAAATATGGCGTTATTTAACGTATCGTTTGGAAATTAAATAATAGGTGTTTATATAAATATAAGTACAGGTACTAATATTTTACTTTTGTGCCTTGTTTGTTCATAGGGAATATTTCTATAGTCCCGAAGCTGACGCAACAGCCGATTCAAACGACGCCGACTTACCGCCGCCGCCAATACTTGCTAACACGCACCCGACCGGCCGGTACCTCCACCGATCGCTAAATGACCTTCCAGCATCGTAAAGTTCCCTCTCACAAAATCCTTCGAATTCTGTTGAAACATTTACTAAAAATAACTGGCAGCCAAACTCGAAGGATGTTCCAGGGTTCTATTACTTTAGGTCACTGAAAGTCCCATACCATTCATCCGGGAAAAGATATTTACTTTTACCTGCAGTCGACAATATAATGCTAAGGAAAAACTACCGGAACAGCAGCCTTCCCAGTAGACGTAAGAACTAATAGCTGTGCGGCTGCCGAAGCGATGCCTAATTGCTTAATTCTGAGAAAAAGGGACAATAGTTTTTCTATCAAAACTGTTGTGTTACCTAAAACGATGTATTCTATCTATTTTCACAGCATCGTTCTCGACAAACGCTAAAAAGATGACCGCCTTATTACAAAACGTAGTTTATTGATCGTCTCGGGTTTAAGTAATGTAGAAGTGTTTTCTCAAGAAAAATCACTTCTTTAACCTAAAAAACTGTAATTTCTTTGTTAAACCTAAAACTAATAATAATTACAAATCCTACTTTCTGTAATATGACGGGATTATGTTTCGTAATTTTTAATGGGAGGGAATTAATTGAAAATAGCATATAGACAATAATATTTACTTAGATTTTGATGTTGATTGTTGTGATTGAAGTCGTTTTTATTAGGTATTAATATTAATCATATAATAAGATTAGACTCTGAGTACAACAGGTCTCAACTCTACTAAACGACATTGGCCAGTTTACGACTTAAGATACCGAGTAAGATGTTTAAATTATATAAAATAAAAATCATTTTTGAAACGTTGCCAATCGCAAATATAAAATGATAAATATGTTATGAATATGAAATTAAACTAAAAAAATATTTATATTAATAATTTCATCAAAACTTATTTTATTTCTGAAACGATTCTGGTTAGAATATTAAAAAGTATTAGAAAGTTGTGATAATTATTCATGTATTTCTTTATATACCTTTTCTTATGGTCTCTTTACTGACTAGAGTAAGCTGTGTTTGACAAATAATATTTTATAATTATAAAACGTATTAAAACACTATATAATTATACATGTTTTAAATTAAATTTTTAGCTTGTTATATACTAATTACACTTTAATCTATATTGAGCCTAAAGATTCTTGCATTGACAATAAATTGGCAACTTACGACTCTGTGACTATGATAATAATTAATAATTAAAAAATTATACTGTAGATTCCTATTTGCAATGTCTATTTTAAAAATATTATCGTAAGAACATATCTTCATCTATTTCTATGTAGTGTTAACTGTAAATAAACTATAAAATGAAAAGTCTGTTTATTAATTAAATAACCAAGAAAATGAGTTTATTTACTTACTAATAGTAGTATACTTCGATCGTAAATCTATCTCTAAACCACCTTACACCTTTAAACAAAGACCTCTCATATAGATTGCCACTTATTTGCCATAGTTGCCACCATTGATAGGCTGATGACTGCAGTTAGTTTTTAGTTTGAGATGTTATCAAGTAGATTTTGTTGCCCACTTAAGGGGAAATATTAAAAATACGACCTCAAATGGCTTAGCGAGATCCTCCGTTATGCTGAAAATATAACAGCATTAATATTGAAATAAATATATGGTAAAGTTGAGTATTAATGTTATACGAAAACACGATTCCGTAAAATTTTGTCGATAGAAAAAAAATCCAAAGTTACCTCCAATCTGAACAGTAAACCGCTGGTATTCATAAAATACTTTAAATTATATCATGGAACTTTTCATACTAACTGAACTATCTATAAAGCAGGGCTTATGTTTTTATTTTTTTAAATTACCATTATTTTCGCTGTAAAAGAAATTACCTAAACTATGGGCGTCTTGAAGCACGTTTCCTGCCGCCTGATTACTGATTAGTCTCGCTATGGCTTTTGAACGGGAAAGCTGTCACTTACGATCAGAATACACATTACGCAATAGGGCGACGTAAAATTAAAATGGGAAATAACCGTAATAAAAATAAGAAGTGGTAGCTGTCAGATCGAAGTGGATCCGTGATGTCGTGAACCATCTTAACACCGTTTACGATTCTATTTAAGGGGTTGGCGTAAAGAAGCAGGCATAAATATATAAACCGAATGAAATAAGTATCTAACAACCTATCTACTTCCAGTATTTGTGATTAAAAACATGTCGGTACATAGCATACGGCGCGCGGGGAAGTGGGGCGAAATTAGAATTTGAGCTGAGGTACTATAGCCCCTTAATGTTTTATTTTTCTTTGTCGTTTTCATACGCCGCCACTACAAAATGTTTTGTGCGATATTAAAATAATAAGTTCAGGATTAATAACTTTTCTTCAGCTTATTTTAAAAATCAAATAAACTGCGTTAGACTAAAATATTCACACATGTGTAAAAAATAATTTGGATTTTGTAAATATCATCTCAAATTGGATCTTTAATTACGCAGTTGTTGATATCAGGAAGAGACGATAATTTAATAAATGAAAATAATTATTAATTATTAAAAATAATTTAAAGCTTCAGTATATTTCACCGTCAGCCTTTTAGAGTCCCTCGCCTGTCCTATTATTCGTAGGATTATTCAAGAAAATGGTAAAAAGCGTCCATCCAGTTCTTAATATATATATATATATATATAATTATACTTATAATATATTACATATAATATAAATAATTTACATATAGTAATTTACTGCAGTTGCGGCTTTATTGTGGTTGCAGCACGAATGGGTCGGCCCGATCGGGGTAGGACCACGCTCTCACAGAATATCGGCGTAAAATACAGCTTAATGCTTCTGTGTTTCGTATGGTGAGTGTACGGTTGTGGGTTAACAATCTACACTAAACTTAAAAAAAATTAGTCCGTAATTCAAACCATTTACAAGCGAGATATCGTTGATATACGAATGGAGAGACGGACAGACAGATGAACAGACAAATAGACAGCAGAGTCACATTGATAAGGCTCTGTTTTACCTTTTGAGCACGAAATCATAAAAATGAAAAGCTAAAATTTGAATTTTTACGTAAATAATTACAATGTAAAAATTAATAATTTGTATAGGTAAGTAAAATAGTTTTGAGTATGTATTCTACTACATTATTTTAGTATCTGAACGGGGATAATTGATGAGTCACAAGAGTCTTAGTGAAATTTATTTATAGAAATAAAATCAATTTAAGTACCTACTGAAAATATCGTAAAAGCTTTTTTCTAAGTACTTAAAACATCAACAACCTTTAAAAAGTCCTCAGGGGGACAACGCATTTCGATTCTTAATCGAGGATAAATGCGGATGTCTATAGGCCACAGCATCCACTTACCATCACCATCAGGTCTTCACATCACTTACCATCATCATCAGGTGGGTTGTGTGCTCGTTTGTCACACTTAATCGACAAAAAAATATGGAATATTATTATTGTTATTCTTGAGATAAGTAAATTCCTTTAATTTAACTGAATGTTAACTGAATGCATAGATTTTTAAATAAATGTTTTAATTGTTTTTTTATGTTTTTAAATGTTTTAAATGTTTCGCGATATCTCCGCCAATTGTGGACGGATTATTTTTCTTTTTTCATTGCTTTTAATTAACTTTCATTAACTTTTAATTTTTTTTAAATAACTTTTTTAATTAATTTATAAAGGGTACTCTATCTACCAGTCTTATTTTATACCGAAAAGATAAATAAATGTGAAAATTATTTTTAGTTTTTTGAAGTTAGTAATTAACGTTATTTTTTATTTCAATGATTTTGAATATCATGTGACAGTTCCCGTGTATTTAACATAAATATTAACTTTTCTTAGTATTTTGCTTTCCATAAGATGAAAACGTGAGGGCGAGATAGTTTTACGTTCGTTCGTTCACTTGATAAATCTTGCTCACATAAGTAATCGATTATAAGGGCATTGCCAATATCGTTTCGAGGGCATATTTCAAATTCAAAGGTTTATGAAAGTTGATGAATCCAGCATAAATGTTAAGTCACAGATAATGAACGAGTAAGCGTTTTCTCTGTCGGACAACTTTGATGGCTTAAATATTTTTTATACCATATATCAAAAGGATTGTTAGAGATAGACCCGTAGCCGAGTGAACGGGTTAAGGAGGAAATATCCAGTATGAACAGTAGTATCACCGTAACTGACATAGATCCCTGGCTTAGTAATTCGGAGCGGTAATTATAGACCGACCACCGACGGGAAACAAAGGAACTTGAGGGGTATCCGCACACAGAAAAGCACTGGGTATCGTGAAACCCAACTGTATAACGACAAGATGAGCCATGATGAGTCTATGTTCAGTAGTGAATTTTTTTAAAGTTATAATGATTACAATTAAGAGCTAAATAATTAATTTAAAAACAAAACTGTATGAGTATAAATGATGATACGAGTAGGTACATACCTTATGCTGAACTTATTACTATTATTGGAATCGAAAATAAATTGCTATGAAACATTTTTTTCAAATATTTGATTTTATTTAAAGGTAGCCCGACGCAACGGCTGAAATTTTTAAATTTTGATCAACAATTTATTTATCTGGTTTGTTTTCAATATTTATTACAGGTTGGCTGATAATTGTATGTGAATGTGAATGTACTTGAATTGTGCTGTCTACTATGTAAATTGTTCACGCTTAAGTTCTTATATACATAATTTGAAATTGTCTCTATTACTTTCATCAAATTATTTGCCATTAATTTATTACTTTACTCAATGGTACTCTTAAAAAATTTAGGGGTATTGCCCAGAAGTTTTTATAAGTTATTCCGTCTTAATCATTATGGGTAGGGATGAGTATACATCTGCTTATTTGTCATTCAATTGCTCTATAAAAATAAGTAACATTATTTGATTATGTAAGTTTTAAAATTTGAAGTAAAATGAAAAAAAAAAACGATAAATGAATGATGTGTGTAAATAGTAGTTGCTTGCAAATTGTTAAAACGTTTAACAACTCGATATTAATTTTTATAACGCACGCCCTATGTCTCAGTAATTTGAATATCATTTATTATATTTTATATATAAAGTCGGATAATTATAGGTACATTAGATCATTAATTAAAGAAACATATAACGTAAAAATAGATTTAATTGTAATAGTTGACTCACACCCACAATATGATAGTAATAGTAACAGACATTTGATACATCTAATTTAAATTCTCATATAGAAAAAATAAAGAGATTATTTCATTGTCTATTGATGAAAATATATTTCCCTCAAATTGGGGGCTACTTGGAATGCGGCATTAAATTTTCACTGCACTTTATATTTAAGTATTTAATTATCGTGCGGAATATTTTGATTCAAAAAAGGTAAATCAGAAGGTGAAAACTGCAATATTTTCTTACGTTACTACAAAGAACGTTATTCAAAATAAACTTCTGTGTATAAGTTCTCCTATTTCCTTTGGAGGTATCGCTCGCGACATTTTCTGTCTTCTCAAAGTTGCAAAGAGTTAACCGGAGTTATTTGTACGAAATGGAAATTAAATTTGTGTGTAATACACAAATGATTGCTTTTCAGGCACATTGTGGTAGACCTGTGTAATACAATAAAAAAAACTGAGGTAGCCCAAAATGATGCAAATAAAATACAGTAATATAATATGTATAATATGTCGTATTATATTATGTTAGGTCTATCATCATCATTATCATCATCGTTTCAAGTCAACTGCTGAGTATTGGCCCCTAAGGAATGCCACAGTGTACGGTTGCGAACCACCTGCATCCATGAACTTCCTCACTCAATGCAGTGGGGTTCGTCTTACATATCTATTGCTGGTACGAGACTGTTACTTGAGAACCTTTCTTCTCCTTTTTTGATTTTTGGTTCTTCGAGCTATATGGTCGGCCCACTGTCTCATGTTAAGAAAATATATTTTACTAGGTGTGGATCAGTAGCACCATGTAACTATAAAAGGTAGTTACCAAAAAAAAAAAGGCTAAATTATAAAAGAATTCGCTCATAAAATATATTGCTATGTACTAATGTCTACAAAACTTCATTTTAATTTTTTGTAATCGCAAATATAGGTCGAATATAAGGCACACTTTCTTGCTCAATTAGCGTTTTTATGTTCTTTGAGTACTTAACCAACGCTATACGTATGATACAATCACCCAAATTTTAAGATTGATTTTATTAATAACAAAGATCGCGCGAAGGTAGATTTTCAATCCTGATAATTTTGACTCTCCAACTATTTCTCAATGTTAATTTTTTTAGAGTTTTTTTTAACTTCTCATTTCATGATATTGGGAATAGCAAAATGAAACGTTTTTTTTGGAAAAAATATAAATATTAAAATCTCAAAAACTCTAAAGTACCCTTGGTGCTTCGTTCTCCTCTCCCAAAAATAGTACCAAAACTTACTTCTTAATATTAAAATCAACTTCACACAAAATAAAGTTGTTTTATTTTTTTAAAGTTTTGAATCATAAAAGTTTTAGCGTTATTAAAAGTTTTAGCGTTGTAGATTGTAGTTATTATAAAGTTGGTTGTATTAATTTCAAATTTAGTCTGATGCAAGTATTTCAAGAATTCATTGTTTAACCTGAAACTGTAATACTAGTAATGCTTTCAGCGGCTGAATAGAGCTAATTGGAAAATACTTTGTAAATGACTTACATAAATCAGTTGCTTTATTCATAGTTTAGTAACCATTTTAAACAGAATTTGCTCTAAAATATCGTTATGTTTAAATTGAATTGAGGTATAAAGGCTTTTGGTTTTAGTTTATCATTGATTGCTGAAAGTTTGTATAAAGATTTTCTATATTTACATTATAAAAAACGGTACTACTAAAGCCACATAAGGTTTCACTAATGTTTAGGTACTATAAGAAACAATTTTAATTAATATAATTATTTTTTTATTTTTTTTTTTTATAGGAAAAGGGTAACAAGCGAGAACACAGTCCACCCGATGCTAAGTGGTTGCTGTGGCCCGCAGACATCTACATCTATCCTCGTTTGCGAATCAAAATGCAGATGCGTTGTCAGCCTTGAGGACTAAGATGGAATGCCTCTTTTCCAGTAAAAAGGGTCGTCGGTTCTCTACACTCATCGTACGAAACATAGCAGCATTAAGCTGCTATTTGGCCCTGGTATTCTGTGAGAACGTGGTCCTTCCCCGGTCGAGTGTTAATTAATACAGCTGCAGCATGGCTCTACCACGTGATCAGATTACTTTGACGAATTCCGATATTTTTTTATAGAATAAGGGTGACAAACGAGCACATAGTCCACCTGATGGAAAGTGGACGCTGTGGCCCATAGACATCTAATTCTATCCTCGATTATGAATCAAAATGAATATTCGTTGTCAGCCGTGAGGACTAAGAACGCGTCTTTTCCAGTAAAAAAGGTGTCCGGTTCTCTACACTACAACTATACCACTAATATAACTGCAGCATGGCTCTACCACGTATAAAAAGATATGAAAAAATATTGACGTTGTTTAAACTAACAACGTCAACGTAAGCGTCAAAGCCGCAATAACTTGCGAAGTATTGAAAGTTCCACCTACATTTAATTGCTTTCGGCTCTTGCACCGCTTAAGCTGAAATATCTATTATTTTATTGTAGCTCAGGTGTTCACCGGGGGTGGAGTACGCTCAGCTGTAATTGAATCTGCCAAGTTTATGTTTTCCTTGCGACAGGCTATTATCGGTGCCGCCTCTAACGCTTTTAAATAATACAACATTTTTGTATTATGAATAAAACTGTTAATTTTTTTAACTTTCTAAGTCACTCGTTAATAATTATCCCACCTGTTGGTAAGTGGCGCTGCAGCCGAAGATGGTAAAGCAAACTGACTTAGCTTTATAAAAGGAATATTAACTCTTCCCTTGAAGAAACCCTCATTGTAATCGGATGTAAAGGCAGATGCTGGCAACTTATTGAACTGCTTTGCTGTACGTATGACAAACTATGAAGCAAACCTTTTGGTTCGAATGCGTAGTAAGTCGACAATAAAGGGGTGGAAACTGGTTGAGCCACCGGTTATCCGATGGTGGGAGGGAGAGGGTCGAATCAATTTATGCAATTCCTGCTCACATTTTCTGAAATGCATCCTGTAGAAAACCGAAAGGCTGGCTACGTACTACTTTACATGTTCGTGAATAGTGAGATTGATTTTCACTAGATATTGTTATATGGTAATTAGTATAGTTTGCCAAACGGCGTGCAATCTTCAGTAGTGGACTTTAGATAGGCTGTAATGGTAATGGTAATTATTAATAGGACAATGTAATGATGATGTTGTGGATAAAGATAATGGTCGGCACGGTACGACATTAACTTTTCGGTATTGTCAGAAGTTACGTACTACATAATATTGTAGTACCACTAGTGTATGTGTTAACATCTTGGAGTACCATATACAAACTGAGTAGCGAACACAGACAGACACTAGTTCTATCGTGTTCATGCCTGATATATGATATCATCAGAGGTAGGTCAAGATTTAATATCAATCAAACACAACTAGTTCCGAAAATCAGCAAATTGAGTGGTTTTGCACAATCATTGACACTGGCTGAAATTAGAAGTTAGGTTTCGTAATCCGTAGATAGTTGCTTTAACCACTATGCCACGTACTGGTCTCCCATTACAATGTATTAATTTTAAGATGCTAACAATAAAGGATAAACAAAAAAAATATTTATTTATTTTTTATTGCTAGCGCTTTCAATTAGGAGTTACAAAGAACGGACTTAACTACTTATGCCATTCTTCTGACGTAAGACGTCTGATTGCAAAGTTGCCTACCAAGCGTGACCATTAAATCAAATCCTTAACAGGACCTATCCATGTTGTAGCAGTAGGCTTTCAAAGGGTGTTCACTGCATAGCGTTATCTACACGTTAAAACTTATCATACATATGCTGATAAATAAAGTTCTTGTGTATATCTTTAGATGAGGGAGCTTACGCGAGGAAATAAAAGGAGACATCATTTTTTAATCGGAGCAACTTTAGTTTTGGCTCTTTCGACCTATATCGATCAGGTAATATCTTCAATTTAAAATATGATGTTGTTGAAAAAAAATGTTTCCTTATTTAAATAAATTTTATATTTATAGGCTCTGAGTTTACCTGTTGATACTTTAAGCCAATGGCCGACGTATCCCAGAAGAAATATTGCAGCTCTTGCCAGAGATGGATATCTTAAAAGCGCTTCTCCAGGATTTAAGAGAAGCATATCAACGCTAGCTAAAAACGGCCAATTGCCTACATTCAGATCTCCAAATGGTGAAGCAGATAAGACAGAAGAAGACGACGATGAGGTTCATGATAAAAGAAACATTGCGTCTATAGCTCGTCTTCGTAGCTATAGTGATAAAAGAAATATTCAAGCTTTTGCTAGAGATGGCTATCGTGTTGGTAGGGGGCACTATAATCAGCCTAATGATAAGCGTAATATTGTCTCCATGGCTCGCAACGGAATGATACACAAACGCGACGAAATTATGGGAGATGAATATTATTACCCATTCTTTCAAAATCCCCTGCCACCACTATCGGAAATTGATGGCCCGTTCGATATGAATGAAATGTACGATTTTCAACAATCTATGAATCCTGACATGCTACCCCCTTTATCGCAAGTTTCCAAAGGTAGTGTTGTTCAGCCTTGTGGCATATCCAGAAAATGACTATGAAACAAATTACGATCGCAATTGGTATTTAAAAAGAGGCACTGTGGGTATGCCTGTACACGGACTTTTTAGACCAATTTATATTGAGCCTCCTACACGTTCCAAGAGATACATATTATCGTTACCAGACGTCATTGAAAGTAATGATATTGAAGCAACTGAAACTAATGACAATGATAACGAAGACAAACGATCCGTAGGTGAGTTTAATAGGGTTAATTTTTGTGTATGTTAGAATAATAATACGTTGTTAATTTTATATGATTTATTGCATCTGTTACAGATGAAGATGAAGTTCGTGATAATTTTGAAAAACGCCATATTGGGTCTTTGGCCCGCTTAGGTCTATTGCCCTCTTTTAGATTCTCAGGAAGTCGTTATAGTAGATCTGGAAGAGCCAGACTGTTATTACCTAGTCAGGAGTTATACAGGTCTTGTAAAGATAGGATTTGACAACTTTCGATGTGATAGATTGTGTTAGAAAAATATTTTTGTTCAGTAGACCTATGTGCTTAAATGCTTTATATATGGGATGTCGCATAGTAGTAACTGGCAAGCCAAAACGGCATGTTTGTTGGTAGTATAAGATAATTACTAATAGAAATGCAGATCGGTGTTTAGGTTTCAATAATTTGATTAAGAGCAACATTCTCGTGTAGTATGCCTTCAAAATTAAAAAATAAACAGGCAAGGTGGCGAGGGATCAAGATTGTTAAAGCCTACTAGAATATACGAGCTGTTATCGCATGAAAATAGATTTAAGACGCTTGATTATATGGGTGTAACAATGATATTGTGGATACGGATATGATATGTTGTGGCGGTTGAGGTTTAAAATAAGGCGACAACCAGTCATAAAAAAAAAATTGTATATTGGTAAAAGAAAAGGTCGTGGGCGTGGTTCCGATAATTTTAAAAAAAAAGTGGCCGTCTGGCTTCACTGGCCGGGTCAGGTACTCCCCTATGTGGCCGCGAGGTGGTCGAGCAGGGCCGGGGGGTTGGACTGTTCACGGGGAGCGCCGTGGCAGCTGGCTGTGGCGGTGGCGGCGTCGAGGGGGAGGCCTAGGCCCTCTTAAAAAAAGGGCGACCGCCACGGTTGTAGTCGTAAAATTGCACCCTGGAAACAACGTCGTCCAAATTTAGGTCCAGGTAATAAAATGCCGCCGATTATGAACCCCCGGTATATCGCAGGCTAGCAGTAGATGGGAGCACAGAGAGTAGCTGGCGGGTGTTCATAATCAGAACGGAGTTACAAGGCGGAATGGAAGGCAAGCGTCATAGCGGTGAGGCGCAATTAAAATACACATGAATTAAAATTACGGCAAGTGTAAAATACTGTTTAAATGTACCAGGATAACTAATTTAGGCTGTGCATTGGTTGAAACATGATGGTGACTTGCGATATTTGATCGCGGTGCGAAATGTATGAGACGCCATTTTGTAACGGTACTTTTGCCAACGCGCACAGCGGCTACATACATTACTTACATGCAAATAACACTAATAACGTGGCAATTAAATAGCTAAAAGCAAACAGCCTGGCATGATCAAATTACACTACCTATAAAACACTTTCACTACTTAAAACTAGGTAACGTTTCAACACTTACCCTTACGGGGTGCAAGACGATACGGAGGTCTCGGTGACGAGAATTAACGAAAAAACTATACGGCCACAGTGCCGGAATTATTATATTATTTTAAACTTTTTCCAAAATGGGATTAAAATTTGCAAGCGCGTACGAGGACACAAAGCAGAGCTTGTGAACGCGGCTGCAGTGGTAGTGTGCGCCTCCCAGGGCGCTCGGGCGGAGAATGGTCGGGAGCGCGACGCCGTGGAATAATACCGGCCGGGTAAAACTCTGACGCGAGAGTTGCAAAGCGCATAGAGTAACGAAGGGTCAGAGTGTTTGTTCGAAATACAATATTTTAATATTTGATTTATTATTTAATTCGTTCTTTTAGTTTACTGATTTGTTTTATTAATAGGATACCTAAGTTAATTATAGAATTATTTTTTTTGTTAATAACTTTTATTTTATTTTTATTTAGTTTATTAAATGTTTATTTAATTTTAATAAACCGTTTAATTATAATTATGCATACATGTACGTGCAACGTTACAATGTGGATTTTTACTTAAAAATTTTAAGTGTATTAATACGAATTTATTTTTTCAGGAAGCATTCCGCTGACGAGAATTTCGGAATTAGGTAAGGGCTTTTATTTATGTTTTGTCTACAAGTGTTGTACGTTTTAACCGATTATAAAGTAATGCTTGACGTCAATCCTAGCAGAGGGAAGGTGGGAATGTAGCCCCAGACAATAAACTGTATTAATCCACCTAGACCTCTCCCACTGCAGGGAGGGTTTGCTTTAATCATCGCGCTTGGAAAGCGGTTAAATGTTCGCTAGTACCAGCCGTGTCGCACCTTTTACCCTATTGTCCTTAACTGATGAGATGGTTACACCACCACTTCTCAGAAGCTCTACTTGTTTCGATTTACACCTCGCATGGAACATCTGTTACAGCAATCAAAGTTTTTTAAGCACGGCGATTAAGGTAAATCTTACCTACAATTAACTACATATTATTTCCACAATATCTAGTCGTTGACAGTTATGGGGTTATGAAGAAAAAGCGGGAGAAGACTTATAATATATATAAAATAAAGAAATGGGTATATAAGCTTCTGATGGTTATAGCTTCTATTTGATGATTCTATCGGTGATCGAATCCAAGCTATTTCTAATTTGTCTTGTGTTGTCAATTGTAAACATGATTGTAAGCTATTATTGAAAAAAATAGTCCCGCTGGGTTTCTTGCTAGTTCTTCCCAGGACAGAGGTTTCTTTTGCGAACCAGTGGTAAATTAAAAGAGTGACTTTCAATAAGTATTGTTATAATCTACATTGTGTAACGCTTCCCCCCCCCCCTCTCATAATAATAAATATATAAAATACAAAATGTATTATATTCACCTTTATATTAAAAATTATATATATGTGACCAGGATTAATAAATTATGTGTGATCTTTCTAAAGGTTTAATAATAGGCCGTTTGTAATATTTTGGCGTGATCGTCTTAGTTAGGACCCTTATTTACGTTGTGTTTGTTTAGTAACTTAGTTCTTTTAGGTGTCTTTTGGAAGAATGAATATTCACTAGAGCAATTGAAAGCTGTTGGTAGTGCCTTATAAGCTAAGTGAACCCCGTTCACGAAGACAGGGCTCGAAAAAGGTTAAGAACATAAAACGTCTCTATTCCACTTGCATCAGGTTTACATTATTAATTATCCCTTCCCGCTCGGAAAAGGCTCAAAATATATTTATACAAAATACCCGATACAAGGGCTTCGCTCTCCTACATTTATTTAAAAAAAATGTAGGGGAGGTACACGGCCCCACACACGCCGTGCACGGTGAGTGCCAACCATTTTGATGCACTCCCCCCCGAAGGGAAAGCTAATTCGGGAACTGGACCGTAGTCCACAGCAAAATAACTTGCGAACCAGTAAAAGAGGCTTGGCCCCTTGCTAGTGCGTAAGCACAAACATCGACCGAAGTCGCGCATGTCAATGCGTGTAAACGCCAAACAGAATACGAACGAATCCAGCCACAGTGAATGTACGTCACACGGTTTAGGCAAATAGGCACACTGGCCGTAAACCCTCCGTGAGCGCCACCACCTGCCAGACCGCCGCTCCTGCAGACGTGATGTAAGTGTATGGCATCACCACCAGTTGCATGATCAGCACGGCTACTAGCCGCAGAGCGTGTCATGAGTCTACCGCTCACCTCAAGGGAATGGGGTCCCACGTTGTGCGGCTTTCGGCCGCAGCCTTGAGAGTCTCCTCAGATCCTCCCGCCAGCTACCACCCGCATGAGGTCGACACATATGCTCAACCAATACAACGGCAGATATAGCCAAAAGGCAGTTATAAGATAAGAGTAATAATTCGCCATCAGAAAGGGTTTGTGTCACTGACGTTGAGTAAATGCATTTTCGATCATGTTTGTCTCACCCACCGACAAGTTGCCTTCAATCATTCAAAGGTGGGAAAGTTACAGAGATATAATATTATGTTGTTATATAAAACATCGTGGAGGGCAGACAGTCTGCAGCCCCGTAATGAAGGGACCCGACTTGGGCAAAGCTACTTAGGTGTGAGTCAAACCAAGACGCAGAGAGCGCCATTGAGAATAGCGTCCCACCAAACAACCATCGCAGAGACGCAATGCTGCAGAACGCAACAAGCATCATTACGACTATCGTCGGGCTTACACCATCCCAAGGTCCCCCATACATCCCAGCAGACATCGCCACCCGCATACCTCCATCGACCAGAACCACAAGAGAGCGTCGAATCAGGCGCATCAAACCCGCAGATCCATCACAAGACGCAATACCGCAAGTAGCAGTAAGCATCAAAGCAACTATCATACGGGTGGCACCCCCTCACAACACACCCACATGACTCTTATCGACTTTGGTAACAAAGTTGGTATTGTTGTTATATAAAAAATATCACCAACGTATCATAGTAGCACGCTACTAAGACGCCAATGAACAAAACTCCACGTATCATAGCGCTAATGCACTAAGACATGTAGTTGAGTATGCCTGTTACACTTAAAAGTACTACCAAACACACTCATCATCCCAATCCGAAAGATAGACGACACATCGCTATGCGCAACGACGTCGCCCACAAACGGTATGGGTGTGTGATGTCCACGGGAAAGCCGTATTGCTACAACAAACCCGCTTACCACCAGCACTAAGATGTTAATTGTATACCTCCATCGACCAGAACCACAAGAATGCGTCGAATCAGGCGCAGCACACCCGCAGATCCATCACAAGACGCAATACCGCAAGTAGCAGTAAGCATCAACGCAACTATCATACGGGTGGCACCCCCTCACAACACACCCACATGACTCCTATCGATTTTGGTAACAAAGTTTTTATTGTTGTTATATAAAAATATCACCAACGTATCATAGTAGCATACTACTAAGACGCCAGTGGACAAAACTCCATGTATCATAGCGCTAATGCACTAAGACATGAAGTTGAGTATGCCTGTTACACTTAAAAGTGCTACCAAACACACTCATCTTCCCAATCCGAAAGATAGACGACACATCGCTATGCGCAACGACGTCGCCCACAAACGGTATGGGTGTGCGATGTCCACGGGAAAGCCGTATTGCTACAACAAACCCGCTTACCACCGGCACTAAGATGATATGTCTAGGACACATCGGTTAGCGAGTCCAAGTTTACCTCGGACCAATTGCTCGTGAAGCAGCACACACGCCACCATAATATTCCTTTTCAAGTCCCTAATAAGGACTAGTCATTTTGCTACAGTACTTCAGGCAGTCGGGCTCCCGACCACCCCATACAATGCTTATGCATCAAGGAGACCTTCAATAATAATGCTTTTGTATCATAGACCTTACTTTCATAAGTCATTCATATATAGGGTTCGAACCCACAACCCTACTATTGTAATGCATATTAATCATAGAGACCTTCTATAGTATTGCTTTTGTATCATAGACCTTACTTTCATAAGTCATTAATATATAGGGTTCGAACCCACGACCCTACTATTGTAATACAAATTCATCATGGAGACCTTCTATAGTATTGCTTTTGTATCATTGAGTTTAATATCATAAGTCCCTAATATAGGACTAGTCATTGTGCTACAGTACTTCAGGCAGTCGGGCTCCCGACCACCCCATATATATGTACAACTGCAGGTATGTACCTCCGACAGCTTCCTCCATACAAGACATCTATACGTGAACACCTTCCATAACTTAGGAAAATTTTCTTTAATACATGAACTCCTTCAACAACTTCAGAAATTTCATCTATACGTGAACTCCTTCCACAACTTAGGAAAATTTTCTTTAATACATGAACTCCTTCAACAATCCAGCCACAGTGAATGTACGTCACACGGTTTAGGCAAATAGGCACACTGGCCGTAAACCCTCCGTGAGCGCCACCACCTGCCAGACCGCCGCTCCTGCAGACGTGATGTAAGTGTATGGCATCACCACCAGTTGCTTACTTAATTTTATAATATTTTTTGACTTGTATTTCTATTATTTATCTTATTTTAAATATTTTTTCAAGTTTTTAAATAAATTTATTTATTACGAAAAACAATAATTTTGCCTTTAATTTACTATGTTATTGGGATAATGTCTGAAATATATTAACTTTATGTTTATTAATTTAACTTAATTGCTTAATATATATCTTTTAAGACTATTTTTGACGCCCCTTTATATTGAATTTAATTATTAATAATAATATTGGGCCGTCACAATTGAATAAAAAGCTTCTATTTCTATTTTTATTTCAATTTCTATATCAAAGTGTAAAATATTCCAGGTATTTCCTTCCATTTGTTTTTGCATACGCTTACACCATATGCCGGTTATTAGACAGTAAGTGGTAATGAATATTTTTGAGCCACCACTATAAATTTTATATTCGTGATGTAAAAGCAAGAGCTTTCTACTAATATTTTATAGAAATGAGGGTTTAAAAATATGGCGTTATTTAACGTATCGTTTGGAAATTAAATAATAGGTGTTTATATAAATATAAGACAGGTACTAATATTTTACTTTGTGCCTTGTTTATTCATAGGGAATATTTCTATAGTCCCGAAGCTGATGCAACAGCCGATTCAAACGACGCCGACTTACCGCTGCCGCCAATACTTGCTAACACGCACCCGACCGGCCGGTACCTCCACCGATCGCTAAATGACCTTCCAGCATCGTCAAGTTCCCTCTCACAAAATCCTTCGAATTCTGTTGAAACATTTACTAAAAATAACTGGCAGCCAAACTCGAAGGATGTTCCAAGGTTCTATTACTTTAGGTCACTGAAAGTCCCATATCATTCATCCGAGAAAAGATATTTACTTTTACCTGCAGTCGACAATATAATGCTAAGGAAAAACTACCGGAACAGCAGCCTTCCCAGTAGACGTAAGAACCAATAGCTGTGCGGCTGCCGAAGCGATGCCTAATTGCTTAATTCTGAGAAAAAGGGACAATAGTTTTTCTATCAAAACTGTTGTGTTACCTAAAACGATGTATTCTATCTATTTTCACAGCATCGTTCTCGGCAAACGCTAAAGATGATCGCCTTATTACAAAACGTAGTTTATTGATCGTCTTGGGTTTAAGTAATATAAAAGTGTTTTCTCAAGAAAAATCACTTCTTTAACCTAAAAAACTGTAATTTCTTTGTTAAACCTAAAACTAATAATAATTACAAACTACTTTCTGTAATAAGACGGGATTATGTTTCGTAATTTTTAATGGGAGGGAATTAATTGAAAATAGCATATAGACAATAATATTTACTTAGATTTTGATGTTGATTGTTGTGATTGAAGTCGTTTTTATTAGGTATTAATATTAATTATATAATAAGATTAGACTCTGAGTACAACAGGTCTCAACTCTACTAAACGACATTGGCCAGTTTACGACTTAAGATACCGAGTAAGATGTTTAAATTATTAAAATAAAAATCATTTTTGAAACGTTGCCAATCGCAAATATAAAATGATAAATATGTTATGAATATGAAATTAAACTAAAAAAATATTTTATTAAATTTCATCAAAACTTATTTTATTTCTGAAACGATTCTGGTTTGAATATTAAAAAGTATTAGAAAGTTGTGATAATTATTCATGTATTTCTTTATATACCTTTTCTTATGGTCTCTTTACTGACTAGAGTAAGCTGTGTTTGACAAATAATATTTTATAATTATAAAACTTATTAAAACACTATATAATCATACATGTTTTAAATTAAATTTTTAGCTTGTTATATACTAATTACACTTTAATCTATATTGAGCCTAAAGATTCTTGCATTGACAATAAATTGGCAACTTACAACTCTGTGACTATGATAATAATTAATAATTAAAAAATTATACTGTAGATTCCTATTTGCAATGTCTATTTTAAAAATATTATCGTAACATATCTTCATCTATTTCTATGTAGTGTTAACTGTAAATAAACGATAAAATGAAAAGTCTGTTTATTTATTAAATAACCAAGAAAATGAGTTTATTTACTTACTAATAGTAGTATACTTCGATCGTAAATCTATCTCTAAACCACCTTACACCTTTAAAAGACCTCTCATATAGATTGCCATTTATTTACCATAGTTGCCACCATTGATAGGCTGATGACTGCAGTTAGTTTTTAGTTTGAGATGTTATCAAGTAGATTTTGTTGCCCACTTAAGGGGAAATATTAAAAATACGACCTCAAATGGCTTAGCGAGATCCTCCGTTATGCTGAAAATATAGCAGCATTAATACCGAAATAAATATATGGTAAAGTTGAGGATTAATGTTAAGTACTATGTTAGATATGCCCCCCGGTTGAAAGCTTGTCTTTCAACAAAATTAGCATTCCTTGTTGTTAGGTAAAGGGCAGATTTTGCAAAAAGGTCTTCGGACGATTCCGGTGGCAGTTCTGATATCGGCAACGCGGTTGATGCCGTCGGCTCCGGGATGAAATGCTGTAATTCGACCCAGTCGCCATTTGAGCGGCGGTAAATTGTCTTCCTTCAGGACTACAAGATCACCCGTCCCTAAAGTGTCAGCATTGGAACGCCATTTTGATCTCTGCTGGAGTTCTGAGATATACTCCTTGCTCCATCTTCTCCAAAAATGTTGACGAAGTTGTTGGATGCGTTGGTATCGACTCAGTCTACTGCTAGGAACTTCTTCATAATTTTGAGAAGGAAGAGAGGTGATGGGGCGGCCGATGAGGAAATGTCCCGGGGTTAATGGCAGTAAGTCATCAGGATTCGTGGAGAGAGGTGTCAGCGAACGAGAGTTCAGTACACCTTCAATTTGAACCAGCACAGTGTTTAATTCCTCGTATGTAAGGTTACAATTACCTAAAACTCTCCGTAAATGATATTTTATTGACTTAGCGCCTGCTTCCCAAAGACCGCCAAAGTGAGGGGCTTGCGGAGGAATGAAATGGAAATTTATATTTTCCTGAGCCAAATTCTCGGACAGTGAATTGCAATTGTCTTTTATAAAACGACCGATTTCGTTGTATGCGCCTACGAATGAGGTTCCGTTGTCGGAGTACATAGTACATATGCTGATAAATAAAGTTCTTGTGTATATCTTTAGATGAGGGAGCTTACGCGAGGAAATAAAAGGAGACATCATTTTTTAATCGGAGCAACTTTAGTTTTGGCTCTTTCGACCTATATCGATCAGGTAATATAAGATGTTGTTGAAAAAAAATGTTTCCTTATTTAAATAAATTTTATATTTATAGGCTCTGAGTTTACCTGTTGATACTTTAAGCCAATGGCCGACGTATCCCAGAAGAAATATTGCAGCTCTTGCCAGAGATGGATATCTTAAAAGCGCTTCTCCAGGATTTAAGAGAAGCATATCAACGCTAGCTAAAAACGGCCAATTGCCTACATTCAGATCTCCAAATGGTGAAGCAGATAAGACAGAAGAAGACGACGATGAGGTTCATGATAAAAGAAACATTGCGTCTATAGCTCGTCTTCGTAGCTATAGTGCTAAAAGAAATATTCAAGCTTTGGCTAGAGATGGCTATCGTGTTGGTAGGGGGCACTATAATCAGCCTAATGATAAGCGTAATATTGCCTCCATGGCTCGCAACGGAATGATACACAAACGCGACGAAATTATGGGAGATGAATATTATTACCCATTCTTTCAAAATCCCCTGCCACCACTATCGGAAATTGATGGCCCGTTCGATATGAATGAAATGTACGATTTTAAACAATCTATGAATCCTGACATGCTACCCCCTTTATCGCAAGTTTTCAAACGTAGTGTTGTTCAGCCTGTGGCATATCCAGAAAATGACTATGAAACAAATTACGATCGCAATTGGTATTTAAAAAGAGGCACTGTGGGTATGCCTGTACATGGACTTTTTAGACCAATTTATATTGAGCCTCCTACACGTTCCAAGAGATACATATTATCGTTACCAGACGTCATTGAAAGTAATGATATTGAAGCAACTGAAACTAATGACTGTAGTGCATTACCTAGAAGTTTTATATTTCATGCGCGAGTCCCGTGTGGCTCTTCTGCGCAAGCGCGTTTAGCATAAGTTAGATTTTATAAGAAATGATTGTATTTGGGACTCAATATACGACCGACGTACGGTGAAGACGTATCTTTTCTTTTCCCCACGCGTACCATGCCTCATGGCGACCATGCCAGGATGCTAACAAAGAAATTACCCACTAAGTGAAAAACCAGTGCAAAAAAAAAACCAAATTCGGAAGAAAGAAGAAAACCTTATAGAAGAAAGAAGAAAACCTTACAGAAGAATGAAGAAAACCATATAGAAGAAAGAAGCACAAATTCTGAAGAAAGAAAAAAGAAGCGCCCTATTTTGAAGAAAACAAAAAAAAAACCAAGAAGAAACGCCAGAAATCCAAAGAGAAATAAAGGTACGAAATGGGAAAATCGCAGTCGAAAGAAGTAGTCATAGCACAAAACGCAAATGGTGCAGCATCCGCAAATACAAGCCTAGAAGACGCTCACACAAACCACATCATACAAACCCTCATGATTGTATCCGTGGTTATACTGGCTGCAGCAGTTATCTATTACCTGATGAAAAAATGCAGGAAGAGTGCCGTGAAAACTCTGAGGCGAGAACTCAACGCAATCTCGCTTGAAAACCTCGCCCGCCCTACAACTAACTAGAAGATCTCAAGAGGTGTCCAGGGTAATACCCGGCCCGCTTCAAGAAGATGACCTCATGCAGCCACACATCCTGTTTGCAGTGCTGTTCCCGCTTGCTCGCGCCGCCCTAAAAATGGTTACATCCACAAACACCATCGCCCCGCCCTTGTAATTAGTATTGTAACGCTTCCCCCCCCCCCTCTCATAATAATAAATATATAAAATACTAAATGTATTATATTCCCCTTTATATTAAAAATTATATATATGTGACCAGGATAAATAAAATATGTTTTGATCTTTCTAAATGATCTTTCAAAAGGTTTATTAATAGGCCGGTTTTAATATTTTGGCGTGATCGTCTTAGTTAGGACCCTTATTTACGTTGTGTTTGTTTAGTAACTTAGTTCTTTTAGGTGTCCTTTGGAAGAATGAATATTCACTAGAGCAATTGAAAGCTGTTGGTAGTGCTTTATAAGCTAAGTGAACCCCGTTCACGAAGACAGGGCTCGAGAAAGGTTAAGAACGTAAAACGTCTTTATTCCACTTGTATCAGGTTGACATTATTAATTTATTATTATTTATTCCTTCCCGCTTGGAAAAGGCTCACAATATATTTATACAAAAATACCCGATACAAGGGCTTCGCTCTCCTACATTTATTAAAAAAAAATGTAGGGGAGGTACACGGCCCCACACACGCCGTGCATGGTGAGTGCCAACCATTTTGATGCACTCCCCCCGAAGGGAACGCTAATTCGGGAACTGGACCGTAGTCCACAGCAAAATAACTGGCGAACCAGTAAAAGAGGCTTGGCCCCTTGTTAGTGCGTAAGCACAAACATCGACCGAAGTCGCGCATGTCAATGCGTGTAAACGCCATACAAAATACGAACGAATCCAGCCACAGTGAATGTACGTCACACGGTTTAGGCAAATAGGCACACTGGCCGTAAACCCTCCGTGAGCGCCACCACCTGCCAGACCGCCGCTCCCGCAGACGTGATGTAAGTGTATGGCATCACCACCAATTGCATGATCGGCACGGCTACTAGCCGCAGAGCGTGTCATGAGTCTACCGCTCACCTCAAGGGAATGGGGTCCCACGTTGTGCGGCTTTCGGCCGCAGCCTTGAGAGTCTCCTCAGATCCTCCCGCCAGCTACCACCCGCATGAGGTCGACACATATGCTCCACCAACCAATACAATGGCAGATATAGCCAAAAGACAGTTATAAGATAAGAGTAATAATTCGCCATCAGAAAGGGTTTGTGTCACTGACTTTGAGTAAATGCATTTTCGATCATGTTTGTCTCACCCACCAACAAGTTGCCTTCAATCATTCAAAGGTGGGAAAGTTACAGAGATATAATATTATGTTGTTATATAAAATGGAGGGCAGGTCTGGGGAGGGACCAGGGCGGGGGAGAGAGCCGGGGGCAAGGGGGCGGCCCATACCTCCATCGACCAGAACCACAAGAGAGCGTCGAATCAGGCGCAGCACAACCGCAGATCCATCACAAGACGCAATACCGCAAGTAGCAGTAAGCATCAATGTAACTATCATACGGATGGCGCCCCCTCACAACACACCCACATGATCCCTATCGACTTTGGTAACAAAGTTGGCATTGTTACGCTACTGAGACGCCAGTGAACAAAACTCCAAGTATCATAGTGCTAATGCACTAAGACATGAAGTTGAGTATGCCTGTTACACTTAAAAGTGCTACCAAACACACTCATCATCCCAATCCGAAAGATAGACGACACATCGCTATGGCCAACGACGTCGCCCACAAACAGTATGGGTGTGCGATGTCCACGGGAAAGCCCTATTGCTACAACAAACCCGCTTACCACCGGTACTAAGATGTTAATTGTATACCTCCATCGACCAGAACCACAGGATTGCGTCGAATCAGGCGCAGCACACCCGCAGATCCATCACAAGACGCAATACCGCAAGTAGCAATAAGCATCAATGCAACTATCATACGGGTGGCGCCCCCTCACAACACACCCACATGACTCCTATCGATTTTGGCAACAAAGTTTTTATTGTTGTTATATAAAAAATATCACCAACGTATCATAGTAGCACGCTACTAAGACGCCAATGAACAAAACTCCACGTATCATAGCGTTAATGCACTAAGACATGAAGTTGAGTATGCCTGCTGCACTTAAAAGTGGTACCAAACACACTCATCATCCCAATCCGAAAGATAGACGACACATCGCTATGCGCAACGACGTCGCCCACAAACGGTATGGGTGTGCGATGTCCACGGGAAAGCCCTATTGCTACAACAAACCCGCTTACCACCGGCACTAAGATGTTAATTGTATACCTCCATCGACCAGAACCACAAGAATGCGTCGAATCAGGCGCAGCACTCCCGCAGATCCATCACAAGACGCAATACCGCAAGTAGCAGTAAGCATCAATGCAACTATCATACGGGTGGCGCCCCCTCACAACACACCCACATGATCCCTATCGACTTTGGTAACAAAGTTGGCATTGTTGTTATATAAAAAATATCACCAACGTATCATAGTAGCACGCTACTAAGACGCCAATGAACAAAACTCCACGTATCATAGCGCTGATGCACTGAGACATGAAGTTGAGTATGCCTGTTACACTTGAAAGTGCTACCAAACACACTCATCATCCCAATCCGAAAGATAGACGACGCATCGCTATGCGCAACGACGTCGCCCACAAACGGTATGGGTGTGCGATGTCCACGGGAAAGCCCTATTGCTACAACAAACCCGCTTACCACCGGCACTAAGATGTTAATTGTATACCTCCATCGACCAGAACCACAAGAATGCGTTGAATCAGGCGCAGCACACCCGCAGATCCATCACAAGACGCAATACCGCAAGTAGCAATAAGCATCAATGCAAATATCATACGGGTGGCGCCCCCCTCACAACACACCCACATGACTCCTATCGATTTTGGCAACAAAGTTTTTATTGTTGTTATATAAAAAATATCACCAACGTATCATAGTAGCACGCTACTAAGACGCCAATGAACAAAACTCCACGTATCATAGCGCTAATGCACTAAGACATGAAGTTGAGTATGCCTGTTACACTTAAAAGTGCTACCAAACACACTCATCATCCCAATCCGAAAGATAGACGACACATCGCTATGCGCAACGACGTCGCCCACAAACGGTATGGGTGTGCGATGTCCACGGGAAAGCCGTATTGCTACAACAAACCCGCTTACCATCGGCACTAAGAGGTTAATTGTATACCTCCATCGACCAGAACCACAGGAATGCGTCGAATCAGGCGCAGCACACCCGCAGATCCATCACAAGACGCAATACCGCAAGTAGCAGTAAACATCAATGCAACTATCATACGGGTGGCGCCCCCTCACAACACACCCACACGATCCCTATCGACTTTGGTAACAAAGTTTGTATTGTTGTTATATAAAAAATATCACCAACGTATCATAGTAGCACGCTACTAAGACGCCAGTGGACAAAACTCCACGTATCTTAGCGCTAATGCACTAAGACATGAAGTTGAGTATGCCTGTTACACTTAAAAGTGCTACCAAACACACTCATCATCCCAATCCGAAAGATAGACGACACATCGCTATGCGCAACGACGTCGCCCACAAACGGTATGGGTGTGCGGTGTCCACGGGAAAGCCGTATTGCTACAACAAACCCGCTTACCACCGGCACTAAGATGATATGTCTAGGACACATCGGTTAGCGAGTCCAAGTTTACCTCGGACCAATTGCTCGTGAAGCAGCACACACGCCACCATAATATTCCTTTTCAAGTCCCTAATAAGGACTAGTCATTTTGCTGCAGTACTAGGAGCAGTCAGTCACCCGACCACCTCATACAATGCTTATGCATCAAGGAGACCTCCTATAATATTGCTTTTGTATCATAGACCTTACTTTCATAAATCATGTATATATAGGATTCGAACCCACGACCTTACTATTGTAACGCATATTAATCATAGAGACCTTCTATAGTATTGCTTTTAAATCATAGACCTTACTTTCATAAGTCATTCATATATAGGATTCGAACCCACGACCCTACTATTGTAATGCATATTAATCATAGAGACCTTCTATAGTATTGCTTTTGGATCATAGACCTTACTTTCATAAGTCATTAATATATAGGGTTCGAACCCACGACCC